ACTCTACCTCATCCACCTCTGTTCACATGCCGATGGGAACATAACCCTGGCCACTCACATAGGGACCGTCCAATTATCCGAAAATTTATTCTTAAAAATGTACTATGTGTCCCTGCTTTTCATTGTAACCTCATATCAGTATCCAAACTCTGTGAAGACAATAATTGCACTGTAAAATTTTGTCCTAACACATGTGAATTTCATGACCCTTCGACTGGGAAACTGATGGGCTTGGGTAAGGTCCATAAAGGTCTATACTACTGGGCACCCACTAAATCTTCTAGAATTTTTCATCCTTGTATTACAACTAATAAAATTACCAATTGTAATGCAATGATGAATAAAAACTCTTTTATTCATCATCGAAGATTAGGTCACAGTGTCACTATTCCTCAACCTCATTGTCCCGTATGTCCATTAGCTAAGCAAGTCCGGATTACTTTTCCACACAGCACTTCCATTACAACACAACCTTTTGCCTTAATTCATCTTGATATTTGGGGCCCTTATCACACTCCAAGTCATGATGGATCCAGATTTTTCCTCACCATTGTTGATGACTTTTCTCGGGGTACATGGATTTTCCTCATGCAATCCAAAACCCAAACACTTACCTACATCACACACTTCCTAGCCATGGTTAACACACAATTTCATACTTCTATCTAAAGGGTTAGAACAGACAATGGTAGAGATTTCTTAATTCATAATTGTTCCTCCCTTTTTTCATCCCTCGGCATATTGCATGAAAGCTCTTGCACATATACTCCACAACAAAATGGGGTTGTCAAACGCAAACACCGTCATCTTCTAGAAGTAGCCCGCGCCCTTAAACATCAAGCCTACCTACCCATCTCCTTTTGGGGCGAATGTGTGATCACTGCTACCTACCTGATCAACCGCATGCCCAGTAGAGTCCTTCATGGAAATACCCCTTATGAGGTATTATTCAAGAACCAACCATTTCTAGATCATCTTCGAGTCTTTGGATGTCTTTGTTATGTTGCCACTCTTGGATCACATGATAAGTTTGGTACCCGGGCCACCTGTTGTGTTTTTATAGGGGTTACAGGCTATATGATCCAGTTACAAAAAAGTTTTTGATCTCCCGAGATGTTGTATTTCATGAAGACATTTTTCCATTTGCCGCAAAGGATATTGTTCCATCACCATCACCCCGACTGTTCCTTGTCACTGATACTCTTCAAGATCCCTTGTTCACTATGGTTCCTAATCCACAGGTTTCTCAGCCCAGCACCCCTACTATTGACTTTGACACAACGAACACTGATAACACTACAGAAGATTCACCTGTTCAACTCTCTACATCTATTTCTCCACCCAGATCTCCTATTCAAGCTCCCAATGTTCCTACACGTCACAATACTCGCCAGAAAAAACCACCAATCTGGGTAGCAGATTATGAGTGTCCCACCATTTCAGATCCTTAAGATACACTGTATCCCACCTCTAATTATGTGACTTATAATCGTCTCTCTCCTATATATAGAGCTTGCATCAGTAACATCTCTGTCGAACGAGAACCCGCTAGTTACTTAGAGGCTGTTCAACACTCTCACTGGCGTCAAGCCATGGCTGCTGAGCTTATTGGTCTCTCTCAGAATCATACTTGGGATCTCATGCCTCGCCCCTCTTGTAGAAAACCTATTGGCTGTAAATGGGTCTACAAAATCAAGCATCATGCTGCTGACTCCATTGAAAGGTACAAAGCTCGATTAGTGGCCAAGGGATACACTCAGCGGGAAGGTTTTGATTATCAGGACACTTTTTCACCCGTAGCCAAACATGTCACAGTTCATACTTTTCTTACAGTAGCTTCTGTTCGTGACTGACCTCTCCATCAAATGGACGTTCATAATGCATTTCTTCGTGGTGATCTTCATGAAGAAATATATATGGATCTTCCTCCGAGATTACGCAGACAAGAGGAGAACACAGTATGTCATTTGCAAAAATCCCTCTATGGGCTAAAACAAGCATCCCGACTATGGAATGAGAAATTCAGTAAAGCTCTAACTGGCATAGGATTTGTTCAGTCCAAACATGACTCTGCATTATTTACCTAGAACAAAGGTAAAACTTTTATTGCTCTCATCATCTATGTCAATGACATTCTTATTATAGGAAATCATGAAGCAGACATCAAATCCTTAAAAGAGCATCTTAACAAACAATTCTGAATAAAATATTTGAGAGAGCTTCCTAGGCATTGAAATTGCAAGATCCCCAGTAGGAATATCTCTTAGCCAATGGAAATATGTCTTGGAACTTATCTCTGATTTAGGACTACCGGGATGCAAGCCAAGTATTATTCCAGTAGAACAGAATACAAAGCTGACTACTCAGGAATATGACAGTGGGATATCACCCTCCGAAGATAACCCACCTCTGGAAGATCCTACAAAGTATCAAAGACTTGTTGGACGATTGATCTATCTCACCATGACTCGTCCAGACATTAGTTATGCAATCCACATTCTTAGCCAGTTCATGCATGGGCCTAAACAATCTCATATGGATGCAGCAATAAAAGTTCTAAAGTACTTAAAAGGATGTCCTAGATTAGGACTCCTCCTTCCTCGAGACAAAAAATGGGATATCACAGCTCATTGTGACTCGAACTGGGCCACATCTCCAATGACAAGAAAATCACTTACAGGTTTTTGTATCAAGCTAGGGAGAGCTCTTATTTCTTAGAAGACGAAGAAATAATCAACGGTATCTCTATCTTCAGTAGAAGCCGAATACAGAGCTATGGCAAAGACGACATGTGAGATCATCTGGATTTTGGGGTTATTGGAAGATCTAAAGGTACAAGTAAGAAAGCCTGTCCTTTTATACTGTGACAACAAAGCTGCAAATGACATTGCAGCAAATCCAGTATTCCATGAAAGAACGAAACATGTACAGATTGATTGCCACTTCGTCGGAAACAAAATACAAGAAGGGGTGATCAAGACTTTGCACATTCGTACTTCAGAACAACCAGCAGACATTTTCACAAAGCCATTATGCAGCAGACAACATTCATATTTACTTAGCAAGCTTGGAGTTTTTGACATTTATAAACCACAAGCTTGAAGGGGAGTGATGAAATATGGAATGCACAATCATTACAGCTTTTCCTTGATCCCTGCTAGCTGTGATCAAGGAGTAATTTTGTCATTCAATCAATCCCTATTTTATGTGATTGATTGAATAATTACATTTATTTGTATTCATTATTTTCCATTTTTACATTTACAAAAGGTGTATAAATTAGCCTTGTACAGGTTTATACAACATGAAAATACATTAAATTTTCTCCTTTCTCTCTTCTCTTTGGTAGTATCAATTTCTTGAACTGCTGCTCTTTGCCTCTCCACATCGATTCCTGACACAAATAACACAAAATTCATCTGTCTGAGAGAACCCACATTAACGATCCAATCAACAATTTCTTTTCTAGCCACCAAATCCAAATCAGGTCGCCGCGATTTGGCCAAAATTCAACCACCACGAGGCCGTCATGTGGCGACCCAAACCCACGCGAGGGCCAAGCAACCATGGAGAGAAGGAGAGAAGAAAGAAAGGAAAGAGAGGATAAGAAAAAATAAAGGAAGAAGAGAAGAAAGAAAGGAAAGAGGAGGAGAAATGAAGGAGTTGACCGGAAAGAAATGCAGGTTCAGTCGAGAGAGACAAATTGGAAGAAAGATGCGAGGAAGAAGAGAGTGGAAAATCAAAAAAAAAAATGTGAGGGGGAGAAGGAACTTTAACTTTAGTGGATGGGTGGTTAAAAAAGTAATTTACTAATTTATTTTAAGGGTAATTTGGTAATATTATTTATATGGAATTTCGCCATAAATTAACCCTAGAATTAGTAATTGGGTTATTAAATTAAACCCCCCCAAAGAAATAAAAAATAAGCTCATGACAAATAACTTATGAAAAAAAATCAAATTAAAATTGTTTTTTGTATTACATGTCTTTCTCCTTATGGCTACTTCCTAATAACAAGTAAGATTGGTCGAGCATCAGATCAGTGCATTTTTTTAATCTTAAACTAATTCATTATTAATTGGATAAAGCAATAAAAATAAAAAATTTATTGGGATAAAGTTGACTAAGTGTTAAATAGTTGCAGAATTATATTAATTCATGCTCTAACTACATATATGAATATGAAGCGGCCCCACGTATTTTATATGGATAAATAAGTCTTACTATAATATCAGAGCTTTTAGAAAAAAAAAAAAATCGCTACTTATAAAAAAATTATCATATTAAATATAACATAAAATTAATCCAATCTCCTATTTAATATATAGTTTTTGATGTTCTTATCGTTTAAAAACATAGCGTGTGGATGGAGTTTTATGTTTCCTCAATAATTTATAATTTAAACTTCTTGTAACAAAATATTTATATCATTAATTTCTATGTAAATAAAAAAAAAATTCATGAAAAAATTCGGCTTTAATACAGTTTTATAAAGTTTCCGTATTTTATTATCTACTATTCCGTGTAGTATAATAATCATATTATGTAATTATTATTCCAAAAAAAAGGTTTTCTGTGAGATTTAAAAAATAAAAAAAATTCCTAGACGTTAGTTAATTGTTTCAATTTATAACACGATGGGGTAATGAATATTTACCTAATTACCTTTGTATCATTTATTTTAACAATAAAAACTTAAAAAGTAAAGAGATTTCTATTATTACTTTGATTCCCAAAGGATTTTGTTGTTTAATTATACCTAAAAGGGATTATAGTTATTACTTATTAACCGTTCCAAATTCTTTTTGTTTTTAAATAAAAAAACACTGAGGCCATACAGAAAATCCGAAAAAACATGGCACTAGGGTCTAGGGGTGCAGATATCACGTTTCAATACTAATGTACCACCATGTAACATACTCACAACATAGGAATGTAACAGTAATTAACCAAGAGAAACATCCAGCAGAATCCAGAAATGTCTTGGCTAATCTTTTTTATCTCTTCTTCTTCCCCATTGCAAATCCCCATGCAAAACAAACAACTCTTCATTCAAAAAAATGGCGACTTCATTGAATTGTTCATCATACAAGAAATACGAAATTCGAAAGAGAAACCCAGATCCCAAAACTTGTGCTTTATTAGTAATCGACATGCAAAACTATTTCTCCTCTATGGCCAAACCCATTCTCGACAACGTTCTCACCACCATCCACCTCTGCCGACGCGCCTCCATCCCCGTCTTCTTCACCCGCCACTGCCATAAGTCTCCCGCCGACTACGCCATGCTCGGCGAGTGGTGGAACAACGACCTTATTTACGACGGCACCGTTGAGGCCCAGCTCATGCCCCAGATCGGACGGCTGGCGGGTGTTGACGAGGTGATTGAAAAGAATACGTACAGCGCGCTTGCTAACACGCGCTTGCATGAGCGGCTGGTGGAGATGGGGGTGCAGGAGGTTATAGTTAGTGGAGTTATGACTAATTTGTGTTGTGAAACGACGGCGCGTGAGGCGTTTGTGAGAGGATATAGGGTGTTTTTTTCTACGGATGCGACTGCCACGTCGGATCCGGAGCTTCACGAGGCCACGTTGAAGAACTTGGCATATGGATTTGCTTACTTGGTTGACTGCAAAAGGCTTCAAGCGGGGCTTTTTGGGAATTAAGAAATGTTTTTATGTTTGTTGAGTTTGTGTTTGTGTTTTTAAATGTTAAATAAAGTTCAGCAGATAATTTCTCTAATTTATGGTATATTAGATATAGAATTTGAATACAATTTTGTGTCTTTGAAAACAACGGATACAAAAAAATCTCATGAAAATGATTGTAGTAATGAGTCAAATTATTTTCAAAAATAAGTTTTAAATACAATTCTAAAAAATGTAAAGTGAGAAAATAACTAGAAGTTGTTTTCATAATTTTGTTTAACCTTTAATTTGAATATTATATCAAATATATTTTTAATATTAATATTAGGAACATACAATTCAAAATTTTGAATCATATTCTATTTATTGAAAATTAATTGTAACCACAATCAAACATAAATTTTAATATCTCCTCTTATTTAATAGGTCTATTTTCGGCCTCCTAAAGGTTTCATTAAAATTCTACAAGCCCCTACACCTTCCTAAAGTGGTCACCAATTTCCCTAAGGTTTAAAGAAATATCAAGAGCCTCCCTTCTTAGCTGTTAAGTGACGAAAATTCTAACTGAAGAGGGCTAAAATTGTTATTTTGTTTGGTACAATATTTTAGTAATTTACAAAAAAAAAAGTGACGAAAATGTCTGCACACGTCTTTAACGTTGAATGCATCCATTGATTAGCGGTAGGGATGGGCACAGGTTGGGCCGGGGTCGGGGACTCCAGTCTCTGACCCCGCCCAAAAGCTCAATGGGATTTTTCGATCCCGGCCCTTAGCCCATTTGGAAAATTTGAGAAATCCTTGAATAAAGTCCGTTTGAGGGTTTTGTGTCCTTTGTTACTATTTTTTTCAAATTATAATATACCATCCAAAAAGAAATTAAATCTATAATAATTTATTGATTTATTATAATTAATCAAAACATCAAATGATATATTACACATATATAACATATATATTTTGTATTAACATATGATTATAGATAATAATATATTATGTATAATGTATAACATATATACATTATATACATTATACTGATAAACCATATATAATGTAAAATGTATAATGTCAAATGTATACCATCTATAATATATAATGTACAATGTATAATGTCGAATATATAATTTTTGTTTATTAACATATTATGTACAACGTATAAATATATTACAAATATTTATGATAATTTATTATATTTAATCTAGTTTTATTTACTACCTATTTGTATATGATTTCATAAAATACTTACACAATTATAATTTGTGATTGTATAATATATGATTGATTTTCAAATATTAAAATTAATATAGGTATATAATATATATGATTGACTTTTTAATATATATATATATATATATACACGGCCGGATGGGTCTCCGCGGGACCGCGTTTTATGCCCATCCCTAATCAATGGTGAGTCAAGGTTCATAACTAGCACCATCACACTCATTGCAAACAAATTAATTCAATGGTGCATAATTTTAATAAACCAACTTAGACCAAGTGAATATGAGTTGGTCTTGAATCTAGGGATATAGCAACACTATAACATATGGATTCAATTGAATCAACTCAAACTACGAAAAAAAAAATAAAAAAAGACTTTCTATATTATGATATGCACAATTATAATTCCACTTAAGTATATATTGACTCCACAAAATTTTATTATAAATTTAAATATTTTGAACCCATTTACTAAAAATCCTTGTTATGTTACTGCTTAAATTTCCATATTCATGTAGAAGGTTGGGTTAACACATTCTTTTGTGATCATTAAAATGAAAGCATGTAGAAATTTTGGATCAACACTTCACTTCTAATTGCCTCAATCACTCACATGTTTCTGACACTCTTCAAACACGAAGCTTCTTCAATTGTTTCTTTCACATGGACCACTACTCACAATCTGACAAGTTGTTTAACACATGAAGAAATTCACCACAAACTTAAATCTATGTAAGATCCACAAATCCTAAAGTCAACTACGAGTTAGAATGAACAGTAAAAATATGTTGATTCTTAAATCTTAATTAATTAGCTACATATCACCATAGAAATAATGGACGTCATTAAGCATCAAAAAAGTAAAAAAACTTGTTGGAATAAAGTTATTCTAACGCTAAAATAACATCGCAAGATTCAACCTTGATGCAGAAAGCGTCGGGATGCATTATTATCTTTTGATAATGTTGTGACATAGACACGACGTCGGTGAACAACCAGAAGGCTGCGTTGCTGAACAAGAATGCTCCACAACATTGCAATTGCATCGCGCCATTCATTTCATAATATTTCAAAACATAGGCAGCATCGCTAAGCAACCCAAGGTTGTGACGCCGTCCGATTGCGTTGTAATTATACCTTCTCATGGGTGCAAATTTCGCTAGAAGATGATAAAATTTCAGCGATGGATGCAAACGACAGGAATGGTGGTGTTTAGGGTTTAGAGTATCTAGGGGTGTCTGGACCAACTTACGTATGCTTCAATTAGTTCCATGTGGTCCTAAAGTTAAAGAGGGATAAACTTCTAGTGGTTATCTCTTATTAATAGTACTCGTAGGGATTTGAATTCAGAATATCTTGAGTAATACATTCAAGAGTCCCAAGCAAACCATTAAACTACCTAGAGGTAGTTTTTGATTTTTTTCTTATTACAAAACCAAAATTAAAAACGAAGAATATTTTTTTGTTCATCTAATGGTAGATTAAATTTTATATACCCGTCGTGCGACCATTTAATTTAAAATGCACCCGACCTTTTCAGAAACACTGAAATCCATGTAACTTAAGAAAATATATTTACCTTCAAAACATATCCATACATAATGTTGTACAATTAATCAGATATGTATAAAAGACAATAGCCGAAAATACAGCATTTTCTTACGTACATATGTAGCTTTAGAAGCAAGCTTTTAATTTATGTGTGAAATTCGTCATTCATCCCAAATAATCCGGCAGCAAATTAATTATTCGCTATATTTAATAATTTACTTATTTCTAGTATTTTAATTGATATTAACAAAGCAATCATCTCATACTTAATTTGAGATAATTGCATTTACGGGTTGGGGTCTAGGCAGTTTAAACTACTATTATAGGTTCTCCTAATTCTAATAGACCTTAATCTATGTAAGGGTAAGATGAATATTTCACTCATACATGTAAGAAAAAAACGAGTAACTCACTCTTAATTCACTCGTTTTTTCTTAAAAAATGCTTTTTCAGAGTTAAAATTTGATTAGCGATTATTAGTTTGAGGGGGGTATTTCCTAGTATTTGAAAGTCCAGGACCTTTACTATTAGACCAAAAGCTCAAGGTGGATTAAGACTTTCTCTCTACTTAATTTACAGGTTAAAATTGAGAATACTTGCACTAAAATAATTACTGTGACTTTATTGACCTGTGTTGTCTCACGGTCTTTTTCACACTGAAAGAACCGTCCAAATCTTGAAACCAAAACCCAGTTGACGTGCAACAACACTGAGCCCCATTCTCTGCCGCCTCTCACTCTCAATATTTCTCATCTTGTTTTCATAACAACTGGCCATTGATTTTTTATTAACAAATAGAAACAATAAATTAATTAATCAATATTCATGACCATATATGTAACTAAGCAAATCTTTATTTTTATCGAATAAAGATTGATCCCGTTGGTGACTGTCTTAAGCTTTCCCTTCTTTTCCACGTAATGTCTCAAAAATGATTTCCCTGAGATTACGATTTCCATTTGTATATACAATATTTTTTGTCTATTTAAAGAAACAGAAGAGAGTGTGTTCTTTCTTCATAGAGTGAGCCATTCCATTAATTTTGTAGCTAGTTTGACCTAGCAGGAGACGATGGTGAGGCCGCTTTTGTGTTGGTTTGTGTTAGTGGCGGTGGTGTTTAGTGGCGGCGCTCGTGGCAGCCAAGTGACATACGATGGCAGATCTTTGATCATTGACGGCCAACGGAACATTTTGTTCTCTGGTTCTATTCATTATCCTCGAAGTCCTCCTGAGGTATTCTCCATTCATTCTTTCTTTCTGTTCATTCCTTTATATGGCATGCATGGTGAAAATCCTATTTTAGAACAACTTTCGGGAGTGTTTTTTAGAGTAAAATTTTGTCCAATAATGTTTCTCGTATAAAAGTATATGATATTTGTTAACATTTTTCAAAGTTTGTATATCGTTATGCAACTATAAAAAATAAAAAATTAAGTTATTGGATTGATAACTATAAAAAATTTAAGTTATTATAGTCTAATTCTAACTAAAGAACGTTGATAAAGTATTATTAGTTTAATAATCTTAAAACTTTACGACATAGAATTTATGTTAAAAAATTATGTTTAACTGATATAAAAAATTGTTTGTTGCCAGTTTAACGTTGAATGTTGCATGATATATGAAATTGTACGTTACTAAAAAAATAAAAATAAAAATAATAATGTGTTATGAAATAGAAAAGTTTTCACACCACTAAAAAGATCCTCCAATAATGAAGTTGTGATTTATGATTTTGTTTTAATGTATGTCATTAGAGCATACGTAAAAACGATTAATGGACACTAAATTAATCAAATCAATATATTAAAAGATATGTATATTTTTGTCTTTTTACAAGTAAAGTACATCAAATCATCAAAAAATTTAATCCTAATTCACACGAATCACACCTTAAAAATCGGATGCTGCTTATTAACCGGATATTTTCTTTCCTTTTTTTTTTTTTTTTCTTCTTCTTTATTTTACTTAAATTTGATCTAGTATTGTTGTGCGCTGCCCACTTGCAATAAATAAATCTAACATTTATTTTAAGATATCTTCATAAACAAGCAACAATTAATGAGAAAAATAGTCAAAAACAACGGATCCAAACATGATCTTTATTTTTACGAAATGAAAATATTTTTTAGAATAAAAAAGTTTGAGCATTTTCAAAAACGATAATTTCTATGGGTTTGACTATCAAGTCCATCAGATTCTAGATATTGGTACCTTCGCTCATTGCATAAGAAATTTCCTCAAGTCATGTATTTATTATATTTATATTTTGTTAACAAATAAAATAAGGTGTATTTTTTTTCCAAATCAACGAAAAGAAGAGCCAGATATGACCATCCAGCTTTGATGATTTCTTCGAGTCATCTCTGATATTTACAATTACAAAATAAAAGGAATGGCCATAAAAGTTTGAGATATTTTATCTCTCAAGTAAATGAAAATTGTCATTATTATTAGACGTATAGCCTTGTATAATCTTCATATACAGCCTAAATCATAGAAGATATTTCGGTGGCCTTCCTTATTGTTTTTGTGTTTTTGTTTTGTTTGTTTGTTTGTTTGTTTTTTTTTTTTAAATTGACTTTTGTATTTTCAAAATTAAAAAATACACATTTAATATTTTTTAAAATTAATATTATTATTTATTTTTGTGTGTTCAATTTTTTAGACCCATAAGATTATCTGTTTTCCAGATTTTCTGTTTTAGAAAACAAAAATAATAAATGAACGAGTATTACTTATTTTATGAGATAAAATAAAAAATGAAAACAGAAAAAATGAAGACATACGTAATCTTTGTCTCCGTATAGTTTTATAATTTAATTTTATGTTTAAAGATACTGAATACATTAATTATGTTGTATAAAAATATTATCACCAACATTTTACGTTACTTTGAAGCTGGTAAACGAATATATTCTTTTGTCATATGTCAAAATAAAATAATATTTTCATAGCTTTTGCTATAAACAAGCTAAATATATTATGCAATCTTAAATTTTCTAATAGGAAATTCACATAAAATGTTACTCAATATTTAATTAATTTCATATTTTTTCAGACATGGGCATCTTTGATAAGCAAAGCCAAAGATGGAGGGCTAGATGTGATTCAAACCTATGTGTTTTGGAACCTTCATGAGCCCCAACCAGGGCAGGTAATTAATTAATTTAATTAATTTTTTCCTGTCATTCATTGACGTAAGTTCAATAATAAGGCTTCATCGAGATTTTATTTATGTCTATTATTATTTTGTTAATTATTATCATTATTTATGTGTTTAATATGCAGTATGATTTTAGTGGAAGAAAAGATCTAGTGAAGTTCATAAAAGAAATACAAGCGCAAGGGCTCTATGCTAGCCTCAGGATTGGACCTTTTATTGAGAGTGAATGGTCTTACGGGTATATCATATATTTCAATTTTGTTATTTTCTTTCCTCAAAATCATCAAAAATTAAAAATTTTTGCTGTGGTTAATTTCATTTGTCCTGAAAGATATCTCAATCTTAAATGTACTAATGATTTTTGAAATGTATTAAATACTCATTTGAAATAAAAAAAAAAAAACCCCATTAAAATTATATTAAAAAAAAACCCTTAAAACTATAAAAAAAAATTCTATAAATGCCAAAAATCCTATAAATAAGAATATATAAGATTTTCCGAAATTCGTTGAGAGGCTTAAGACTTTTTTATCTCTCAAGGAGCGAATAAAATTCATTATAATTTTCTTAGTTTTAAGACATTAGTTACAAAAATTTAATTATTTAATGACATTAATGTATTGTAAAATAAAGTTATATTTTTATAAATAAAATATATTAATATATATAATAAAAAATAATGGTAAGTTATGAAATGGGTTGCAGAGGTCTACCATTTTGGCTGCGTGACATTCCAGGCATTACTTTTCGATGTGACAATGAACCCTTCAAGGTAAATGCTATAATTTTTCTAGGCTTAAATTAACTTTTACTTTATTTTTTTCATTAAGAAATTAGAATCGAACTCTGGTATTGATTTGATAATTTAATTACACTAATTATTTGCTGACTATTATTTGATGGAAGGTTTACATGCAAAACTTTACAACAAAAATAGTAAACATGATGAAATCAGAAGGGTTATATGCTTCACAAGGAGGCCCGATCATATTATCTCAGGTTTATTTCTTTACGTATTAAATGAAAAAAAAAACCATTAATTAATTTATAGCCATGCAATTTATAAATATTGTTTAGGTTCTGAAATTGTTATATATGTATAGATCGAAAATGAGTATTCGATGGTAGAAGCTGCTTTCAAAGAGAGAGGGCCACCATATGTGAAATGGGCTGCAGAAATGGCTGCAGGACTTCAAACTGGAGTCCCCTGGGTGATGTGCAAGCAAGATGATGCTCCTGATCCAGTGGTAATTGATATATTAATCAATCAATAATCTCTAATCATCTTGGAAAACACATTAATCAGTATAAAGAGATTTTTAATCCATTAGTCAATCTCTAATGAAGATGTCATGAAGTTTTTAATGTACGGATCAAAGATGAGTGATTAGTTGCTGTCTTCACAAATTGTGAAATCAAAAGCCAGAGACTAATCACTTATCTTTGGTTGGCACGTTAAAAACTTCGAGACATCCGCACATTTAATTCATTGCTTCACGAGATCATTTAAATTTATGTAATTTGCAGATTAACGCATGCAACGGTATGAAATGTGGACAGACATTTGTTGGGCCAAATTCACCCAATAAGCCATCAATATGGACAGAGAATTGGACTTCTCAGTATGTCATCAAATTAATCTTCGCATTGATTTTCTTTTATAATTTCAAGTTTTAAATTTACCTGAAAGTGATTCAATTATATTCTTCTAAATATTATTGGAAACATAGCCAATTACTAATTAAAATGGGTTTGATTTTGCCTATTTTTCTCATCTTTAAACCTTGAAGGTATCAAGTATATGGTGAAGAACCACTCTTGAGATCTCCTGAGGACATTGCATTTCATGTTGCTCTATGGATTGCAAGGAATGGAAGCTTTGTAAATTACTATATGGTATTGGTTCTTCCATAGCTAATTAGTAAATTAATTTTCATTTCATGTTTGCTAATTAAATAATTTATAACTTGACGATGAGTTTCCAATGCTACAATAGTTCTCTTCAATATCAATTAACTAAAGAGATTTGTTATCGCAGTACCATGGTGGAACTAATTTTGGAAGGGTAGCATCTGCATTTGTAATAACAAGTTACTATGATCAAGCCCCTCTTGATGAATATGGTATGTATATTTAATTCTCAGGAATTTTTTTGTAGGTTCATCATCCGTTCGTTCAATCACGACCTACACGCAAGTCACATGTGTTGATCTAAATCGTCATAGTTTGTCTGTTTTACTAAGAGTTTTAATTATAATATCAAATTTTATTTAAATAAATTCTCTTCACAATACGTTATGATTGAACAAAAAAAAAAAAAAAAAAGAAAGCGTTAGTCTTATATATATAACTTTTGTTACTAAATTATATATTATGTGCTAGTTAAGCAAACTCTCTTGATAATATCAGGTATGATTAGGCAACCAAAATGGGGACATCTGAAGGAATTGCATGCTGCAATCAAGCATTGTTCAATAAATTTACTTCGTGGACAACAAACTATTTATTCTCTGGGTGATAGACGAGAAGTAAGAATAATTAATATTAATACTAGATTGGAACTGATTGTTATATTCAGAGTTGCTGAAAATTGTTATATAATTTCATGAAATTGTTGCATTGCAGGCCTATGTTTTTCGTTTAAATTCAAGAAAATGTGCAGCCTTTCTGGTGAACAGAGGAGGAAAAGATACCGAGGTAATATTTCATAATTCTTCATATGCACTCCCTGCCGAATCAATTAGCATTCTACCTGACTGCAAGAACGTATTCTTCAATACTGCAAAGGCAAGTCTTACATCTCTTTAATTTCTAAAAACAAGATATGCAAACAATCTTATGAAAACTCATTTGGTATAAATAATTTTAAATTATGATGCAATACTAAAAGGTAATCGACAATCAGAAAACAATTTTACATTTGTCGTTTTCATAATTTTATAGTTTTTTAAATAATTTTTCAGTATTATATCAAACACACCCGTCCGTAGTAAAAAATATTAATATAACACTAAAAACTTGAATCATATTACTCTTTTTGAATATTGTTTTCGAATCATAAACCATATAATTAGTCTATACTCACTGCTTGAGGATGTTCGTATTGCTCAATGATTTTATTTTATTTTTTTATCTTGAACAGGTAAGCACTCAAAACAGTTCAAGATCAATGATACGAGGCAAAATATTGGATGGATGGGAAGAATTTATAGATCATATTCCTAATTATGAAGACACCACACTCAAATCAAACACTTTATTAGAACAAATTACTACTGCTAGAGATTCTTCTGATTACCTATGGTATAATTTCAGGTATGAACTACGATTATAATAATAATTCAGCAATTACAAATGGTATACATATCCGGTTAGCGATTATATGTGAATATAAATTTATTCTTACGTTAATTAAATTTCCATATCATTTCTGACATCATGTTATAATTATGGCATTGTAATAGGTATCAACATCAATCCTCCAATACGAAAGCTCTAATGAAGGTATACTCTCTTGGGCATGTTCTCCATGCATTTGTCAATGGAGTACTAGCAGGTAAGCATAATTTCTCCCTCTAGTAACATTTTTCCTTTTTTATATATACATAAAATATTTGGATGTGGATATTGGATATTGGATTAAGGTAGTTTTAATTAACAAATTAATATAATTTTGTAATTTGTTGTTATTTAGGATCTGCACATGGGACACATCAGAATCCAAGATTTACCCTTGAGAATACGGTTTCTTTAAACAATGGGATCAACAATATTTCATTGCTAAGTGTGATGGTTGGATTACCGGTACCATTCAGTCTAAACTCTCTCAATCTCTTTAAAAACTACTGATCCCCATCAAATCAGTAAATTACTGCGGCTTTTTGTGTGAATTAAGGATTCAGGAGCATTTATGGAGACAAAGGGTCTTGGACTTCGTAGTGTGTCCCTTCAAGTTCAACAAAAACAACTCATCTTAACTAATTCTTCATGGGGATATCAGGTATGGTCGAGTGCATATACATTCGATTAAACAACTTTCTACAACAGCCAGGTGAAACCTTTAGTTTACAGAGGGCTGGTTTTTTTTTTTAAATAATACAACCATAAGTATAATTTTTCAGATGAATATTATTAATACTAAATTATTTATCTATGGTAAAGAATGTTAGAATTGTTATTGCCTTATCATTTATGGATTATGATTTTTCTTTGCTAGGGAGATATAGAAAGAAAAAGGAAAAAAAAAAAATTAATGTTAGATAAAAGAAAATAATTGTTTATATATATATAAAGCAAATAATTGTTTGCTATATCTATTCTATATTGGCTTATTGGAAATCTATTATAACTAAAAATTTTGATATGCATTTCACCGGGCAACGTCTGCTGATTTTTTATTTTATTTTTTTATTATTATTATTATTATTTTTTTGCTGCTATGTATGGGGTTTTTGGTGGCTAGTGGTTGTGTATAGATTGTGCAGGACCTGCCCTGTTTTTGTGATGCTAGTCTGCTCATGCGTCCGCTTCATTGAGACTAGCTCGATTGTTCATAGGGATTGTAAATTCTTGACACTTTTTGCTAGTGTTTTTTGCTTGGTCCTTGGGCATGTCTAGGGCACCTACCTCCCTTGTGGTCTCATTCTTTTATTCTTTTTATAATATTATTTCTTTACCTAAAAAAAAAATTGTAAGACTCACTACACACATAAACTAATTATATATGTAATATTCAGTTACTCTAATTTTCTTTTTCTTTTTAAGTTGATTAATAATTTTTTTTTTTAAAGTAGACCCGGGCTGTAGCCCAAGTCATTCACAACAATCGAATATAAGCAATCTTTTATTAAACGATAAGTCAACATTTATGGACGAGTTTGCTTTATTATTTTGAGTAGTATTTTTGAAAAAATTGAGTTGGGTTATTATTATGAGGAGAGGATTTCAATTTAAAAATGTGTTTAGTAAAATTATTTTTCAATCCCCTATATTTGTTAATTTAGTTAAACACCTCCTATAATAAAAGTTTTAAAGTTAACAAAAATACTCTCACCTACCCATTAAATGCCAACAGCCTGCCACCGGCTTTCAAGAATATGTGAATGTGTGGGGGTGTTTTTGTCAATTTATAATTTTTTTTTTTATTAGAAGTGTTTAGTGAAATTAACAAACCTATAAGGTTTAAAAAAGTTAAATAAAATAAAATTGGATTTTCAGAATAGAAAACAAATATGTATTTTGGGTAGGATAGGAATAGGATACGGTAGAAATATATATAGTCACTCTATAATATGAAAGAATCTCTAGCAACTTTTTCCTCTTGATCAAATCCTTTTTATCAAATTCATTTATTTATTTTTTCTTTGTAGGTCGGATTACTGGGGGAGAATTTGCAAATTTACACGGATCAAGGATCAAGTAAAGTTCAATGGAAAAAGTTTTCGTCTTCTCGACAGCCGCTTTCATGGTATAAGGTAAGTAAGAAGAAAAAAAAAAAAAGATATATAAAGCTTTTTTCTTCTATAAATATTTCAATGACCAATCTCAGAATAGGCAACATTATTTGACGTTCTAATTAAGCACATTATTTATGGATTTTTTTTTTGGTGGGTTATGAATATATGATAGACTGTATTTGATGCACCTGCGGGAGATGAACCTATTGCTCTGAACTTTGGTTTGATGGGGAAAGGTGAAGCTTGGGTTAATGGTGAAAGTATTGGTCGATATTGGGTCTCTTTTCATACTCCCAATGGCATTCCTTCACAAACATGGTAAGTAATTTTTATATATCATTAATTGAACGAAAAGTGCTATTATATATTTATAAAGTAGTATATATCATCTATCATTTACTTAGTATGTACTTGTCAAAACATTTGCATGGGATATAAATTAGGATTGTAATATTATATATTTCGTTAAATAAAAACTAAGGATATGGGAGGAACAAATTTTTTACGATAAACCTTTGGTTTCCCAATTCATTAAATATTACACTTTGACACCAAACATAATTTTTTAGTTCCGCCATTGTTAAGGATGAATAACTCAAGGTAGAAAAGTTATCGCATAAAAATGAATTTTTTTCCTATACTTTGAAAGTGACATGATTAGTTTTTGTTTAACAAAGTTTTTATGTTGTTAACGAGAATAGAAATCTGAATTTTTAAAAAAATTGGACGTTCATATTAGAGAATTATGGTATATTTTACTAACTTTTTAATCATTTTTAATTAGGTACCATGTACCAAGATCCTTCCTGAAACCTACAGGCAATCTTCTAGTTATATTAGAAGAAGAGGGACGTGGATCTCCTCTATCAATCTCATTAGACACAGCTTCAATTACAAGAGTATAATTTATTTTGGATGTGCGGCAACATCTAATTGAATTGACGTTGTGGAGAAGGTGAGCTTTGTTTAGTTATTTATGATCTCCATATATTGATGCAAAGAAGTCAGTAAAATTTATAAAATTCAAATTACCACAATTAAATAAAAGTGTTTTAAATGAAAGGCCTTTAGGTAAAACCCAAAAGTTTACAAAAAAACATAAAAACAAATTCTATTAATATACTTTTGTAGTTTTGTGAACAAATTAAATCTTAATTTTCATGAAGTTATTTATGATTATTTTAATTTTCATTGACATATTTTGTCTACCATCATTTTTCAGACTTGTATGGAGAAGAGGAGATGCTGTATCCAAAGATCCATGTCCAAGCATTCAAAAAACTTTGTTGGTGGAAGCACAGTGTGATTCTTTGTAAGATTGTTCAACATATTACAATTGATTCATGTATTCCTTTATTTTAAAACAGAAATGAAGAATATTCATCCATTTATCAATGAGAAAAATAAAAGTTCATCTTTCTGCACTTGAATTGTTTGAAGGTTTGAAATTCAAGTGCTGGCTCTCTCAGTTGTTCTACAGAATAATCTCATCATTGATTCTTCCGTGTATAATGGGTATATATATATTTTTTAAAGTTTAGTACACCAATATTTGTTCCATCTTTATCCAATCATTTGTGTAGGAATTAGGAGAGTGAATGATATGGAATAAATATTTCTTTTGCTTGTTTATTATACTTTTCTTAACGGAGTGCCATCTGCCATGTTAGATGGACCCTTATTCTTCCTATTCATTAGATACTTAGTATCTTAATACCTTATTTTTTAGCTTAAGGACACATAAGTACTCATAATTAAACAATTATGAATTTGCATGTTTGGAAAATTGGATTAATATATTGTTGAACTGTCACCTACTAACTTAAGCTTTTACATGAGATGGTAATTTAATATAGTCAAAAGTCTCAAGTTCGAATTCCCATATTCAAACTAGATAAAGAAAATGAAAAAAAAAAAAAAAAAATTCTAAGTTTCATGAGAGGAGTCCTATTGGACTAAGGATATATGTGTATTTTGTCTTATAAAATTTGAAGAATTAATAATTATCACTTGTAAATATAGCTTATCTCTTCAACAACAAATACTTAATTATGATTATATAAACTCCCTTGTAACTATTGTTGACTTACCTAAAATTACTCTGTAAAGGATGAAAATTCGAAGGTTTGAATGTTCTGAAAATTTTAAAGTACGAAATAAGGATCCCACTAGCTTTAGTTTTTCGGGTTTGTGAAGTTAGTGATTAATCGCTCACTCTTGATCATTAGGTTAATATTTTCAAGATGTCCGTAATGAAGATTGACTACTGTAAAAGATGGTTAGCAATAATTAATCAACCATTTGGAAAGTGAATGATAATGACAAAACAAGAAAGGGTATGTAACATAGCCAAATTACTGGCAATGAGTTGGGAAAATTGAAATTTGAAATTTGAAGCAGGATTTTTACAAGTGAAGAATTTCAGAGATTAAACGAAAAATCAAGAAACGGATTGCTGAAGAACAAAGAGAATCAATTTTCATTAACTGAATTGTAACATAAAACAACCACATTTATAGTTGTTCACAATGAATGGAACGACAGCGTTTTACAGTTTTCTTCCATTTGCATTTAGACCTATATTACTTGCAAACATTACAAATCAGTCCAATACACTTTTAGTGACTAGAGCAGTCTACTAATTTCCACATTACTCAACAAGAAAATTCATGTCAGGGTAGAGAGAGAAATTATCAAAATTCGAACCTTTTGCAGTTGATGTTATTACCTTCAGAGTTGAATTCATCTGATTCACAGCTCCTCTAGAGACTTTCACTTCAGTTTCCATTGTTCTATTTTCTTCACCTTTATTGGCTGAACCAATAAAATTAGAAGAATTAATTATGGTGACGTGAGTCTTTGAAGGCTCTGATACCATGTAAATTTTTTAAAAAGAATTCAGTGAGAACTAAGAACTAAGAACGGTAAGGAATTCTTGAGTAACTGTATATTATTCAACCAAATTCAACAATGATTCTACAAATCTGTTTTATAATAAACTAAGATTGCTGAGAGGGCAATCCTTGTGAACTCTCATCTCATCCGTTAAACTAAGTCAACAACAAACACAATTACATTAGCTATTGACCATTGGATCTATACTGTACATTTGTTTGAGGCTTTGAGCTGCTTCTAGTGAAGAAGAGAAAGTGTGTTTTGCTGTCTTTGTTTTGTTATAAAAAAACAGCACCGTTTCAGAATTGTCAACTAACAGCAGCTTAACAGATTTAACAAATTGAGCTGACTCCGTTAGCTTCATTTTATTCAACATGGGAGATCAAAGATAGTTGCCCTGCCGATTAAATCCTAACGACTCTACAGTTTCTTCTGAAAGTGTTTAACTGGTTCATTAGACATTTGCCGAATGGTTAGATTTAGTTTTTAATGCTAAGGAGGGATGATCAATTAACTCATATTCAATATCAAGCATCGAAACATAATGTAAAGCACGCAAAGGATTTTTACATGGTTTGACTAAAAAACAATTTTAACCTACATCCATAAGACCAAATCCGGCTCAACCAATTCATTATAGCAACAAATGTCAATACAAATTTAATTCCTCGCTCTTGATTGAACCATTGTCCAGCTATAGTCTGATTGGGTCCAAGCCACCACCTGGATAGCTCAAGCTCCACTCAGACTTGGACAGTCAAAAGACAACTTTTAACTCATGAGCTTGAACTTCTTTCAAGCTTCACCAATGGAACCACGTTCCAAAAATACTCAACATCAAGATATTAGATCGTTAAAGAAACAAACAATAAAGGGAACTCGATTGAAGGAATAAACTCTGTAAAATTTCAGAGAACACTATAATGGTATATTCAAGTTCGAAGAGCAAGGAAGAAGAAGATATTAAATATCCTTGACCATAAAATCTCAACAGTACATGTAGCCGACACTTTCTAACAACCTTTGTTAGACCACTTTAGGAAAGACAGATACCTATAAAGTGACATTTCACGCAAGTTTCATGAATGGAAATAAGACAAAATATCGTAATGGATAAAGTAAAAAAGAGATACCTATATTGAGAAATCTAATTAATAAGATGTTTACACATACAAAGAAATATGCACACATATCAGATCATATGAACAACATAATGTACACACATTAAGCACTATGTCAAGGCATGTGTAAACAACAAACATGATTGTACTTAACTCGCTAAAATTGCAAACATTATCAGAATAAATGTGCACAAAACAAAAACTCTTACATCTTCCATTAAGAAATTAGAGCAAGATTCTTAAATCTGTATTGTTCAAATATAAAGAAACAATAAAAAATGAGATTAAGACAAAATTAACGTCATTAATTAAGATTTTCATTCGAGTACATAACTGGAGGAGACAGAAACAACAAATAGTATGTGGCACCTATATATTACATATTTATTCCACACAAAGCAAATATTTTAAAACTCTTTGATAATTATGTTTAAATGGTCTTGATTGAAACTGGAAGGCCTTCCATTGGAATAGGTGATGGAATGTACGCAATCTTTTCATTTGGACTCATTTTCTCCCATTTGAATTTTGTCACCAAATTATGCATGAAAACAAGTATTTCTGATTGAGCAAACTCTTTTCCAGGGCACATTCAAGGTCCTCCACCAAATGGTACAAAAGTGTAAGGTGCAAGACCACTCCCTTCAAACCTTGAAGGATCAAACTTCTCTGGATACGGGAAATATTTCGGATTCTTATGTGTAGACTGAACTGTCCAGAATATCTGCAAAATAGTTAATTTAATGGGTGAGCTTAAATTTCATGCACTATATAAAGCATATAGCAAGAATTTTCAGGTGTTAACCGACATTTTTATTAACTATAGACTTCTGTTAGCTGATGATAATAAATATTAAAATCAAATTTATAATAGTCACTTAAATGAAGTCTATATATTGAAAAATGTGAACATTCGCACCTGATATTAATGAATGTATCGTAAAAAATATTCAGTAAAAACAGTTTAAAAGTTACCTTCCATCCCTTAGGGATTGTATAACCAGCATAATTGAAGTCAATTATGGACTCTTTAAAAAATCCATTGGCAGGTGGTGTTAGTCTCATTGCTTCACATGCAACGCACCACGAGTATTTCATCTTCTTCAGATCATTCCAATTCAACAATTCTCCTTGTTCTTAAGACTTAAGGATCTCCATTTGTTCTATCCTCCAAAATATGAATAAACAAATAAATAAGCATAGCCATAGTCATATATTGGGACGAGATCTCGATTCACATGCCTGCTCCCTTTATTAGAATGGATAAATATTAAAGATCTCAATTGATATTCTTGATTCGTTTCAAATGATGAAGTCATGGGTTCAAGTAAAGAGGGACGCGTTTTAAGCCCCACACTATTTGAGGTGGGTAAGAGATAAATGATAGTAGGCGGAGCTGTTACGCGAAATTTCAAAGTACCTATAACAGACTGAATAGAGAGATTCAAGTGTGTCACCTTCGAAAACTCTTCGGTAGGAATCTGGGTAGTCTGCAAGGTAGGAAACGATAAATGTGATGACAGTACTTGTTGTATCATGGCTTGCAATGAATAAGCCTATTATCTTATCAGAAATCTCTCTGTCATTCCGTGATTCAGCATGCTACTCAAAAAGTCCATTGCTACTGCAACAGGAACAAAATAAAACAGTAAAATAAATCAAACAGTAAACAAAGAAAATAACATACGCGATTTACTCTGGTTCACCCAATATAGGCTACGTCCAGCTGAGTCAATATTATTGCAATATGCCTCACCTCTTTCGTTTACAATGAATGAATTGCCCTATGATTTGCTATCACATCCATACCAAGGGAAAAGTATGTTTATATACTAGGTTTAAGAGACTAAACCTAGTTTTATAAGGATTCCTATTCCTAAGTCTAACCCAATAAGGAATTAATAATTTAAAAGAAATTTTACAACGTTTATACATGGGAAAGCCCAAAACCGCCTACGGGCTCGGAGGCGTTGCCCCCGCGACCCCCGCCCGCTCACTGGGCAACGGGACCCCCGAATGCTTCTACGTTACCTATTAATGCTGAAGTAGTCGACAACTCCAACACTCCCGAATTTTGTTGCCTGCTTTCACTGCACGATTAAAAGATGTACCGGGAAGATCAATAGGCACTGATGCGAGTCCAGCAGTGGCAAGGGGAAAGGGCTCGGCGAGCTTCGCTGCGTGTTCAGGATCGGTAGCGCTTATGAACAATCGACAAGCGAGAGCAAAAGTGTATTTTTTCGACAGTGGAAAAACCTTCACATCGTTGTTGGGAAACCATTCTTTCTCGAAATGTTCCCTCGCCATGGAACTGATTACATGTATGTAATGTTGAAGCTGTTGTAAATAAGACCCAAAACAGGTGTAATCATGCAGTAGCTCAAAAGTGTTCATTCAACCAAACAAGCACAAAAGAA